TACCGATTCCATTCATGTACTTAGATCGCCCGACCACATCTTATTTGGTATCATGGAAAGCTTTATTTCTCAGAATATATTATATATATAAATATAGCTTGCTGTCAGTCACGAAAGTTATCGAAAACTTCAATCGGCGTTTAATCATTGTCAAAACGTTTTTTTTTTCTGACCTAATTATAGGGTCACCGTATTTCTGATGCATCAACCTTGAACATTTAACAAAGCACGCATTTGGAATGGTTACATGTGTGGAAAATTGACGTGTAATAGGTTATCCTTTTATGAACTTCGGTTAGACCGAGCAGTGTGAGCTCTGTAAATATGCAATTTTTAAATTTAATGTCACCCCTGAAATAGTGTCACCCGGTGCGGTCAGCATCCCCCTAGCTACGCCACTATCAGGGCTTAACCCGGTGCAGTTGATGTTTTTTTTTTATGCCGGCTCCGGGTATTTTAGAAATCCTAGAACCTTTGACTAATTGGGGCAAAAAAATATTGCTGAGGGACTCCTAATTATTCTGCTGAAATTCTTTTTATTCGTGTAGGTCCGCTTATGAGCTCTTTTTCTTTATATAATTTTAACTGCGATAAAATTTGAAATTGCAACTATCTACACTAATAAATGTCGAAGGGATCATCTTGAAAAAGAAAATAAGTATCTAATAAAATCATTTTTTATAGCAAAGTGGGACTGGATCAAAATCTACTTTGGACACTATAAATATAATGCTGAAAAGACATGTGTTTGTGTGTGTGTGTGTGTTTTTGGTTTTTTTTTATGACCCGGGCTGCACTGGGTGACACCCTGTGGAGTGACACCAATTTAAACTTGGAGTTTTCTAATTTGACAGCGTTCGGTCGAGTCAGTTTCATAACTGAACTCAGTTAAATACGAGCGCAGGTCAACACCACATCAGGTTGTCACGATAGCAGGTTGACTCCAGAACGGGTTGTCATCAGACAAAGCAGGTTGTTACCGAAGCAGGTTGTCATCAGAAAAAGCAGGTTGTTACCGAAGCAGGGTGTCACCAGACAAAGCAGGATGTCACCAGACAAAGCAGGTTGTTACCGAAGCAGAGTGTCACCAGACAAAGCAGGTTATCACCAGACAAAGCAGGTTGCTACAGAAGCAGGGTGTCACCACACAAAGCAGGTTGTTACCGTAGAAGAGTTCTTCGGCGCAGACTACGCACCACAGCAGGCACACTCGTAAGAGGTCCACGAGTAAATCTGTAGGGAGGGGTTGACAGTTGACACCATGAGTTTACCGCACTGGGTGACAACCAGTCAACAACCAGCGGGACGCCATTGTAAGGGTTAACGGTAGCATACCTCATTCTGATCTCATAGAGTAGTAGACCTTTATTCATGTGTGCACAATCTTGTATCTATGGCTTCCAACTACTTTAACAGTTTTACAAAGGGAGGTAGCTCAACTTAATTTTACTTTGGTCGTTAATTATTTAAGTTATCTCTCTTTGTACCGGTACTCTTAATGTCAGTCAGGTGGATGATAAAAGGCAATAATGACATATCTATTATTGTAACTTTGATCATAATACTTCACACAATACTTATTTTCGACACTTATATAGACTAGTGGTATTCCTACGAACTAGAGGTTGTTTGGTTGGGGGGGGGGGGGGGGCCCCCCCCAGCAAGTTATTGGGGGGGGGGGGTGGGGGAAAATTGGGTGTTTTTTTTTTTTATTTTTTTTTT